TGTTCCACTTAAACGCGCGTCAGCCAAAACAGTCGCAGATGCATTCTTACACAGATACATTTTAAAATACGGTGCACCAAGTCATTAGCGATAACGGTAAACAATTCGTTAGCCAAATATTTGAAGACATATGCACTGGACTTGGCATACACCATATCAAAATGGTTTCGTATAGACCACAGGCAAACATAGCAGAAAGAGTTAATAAAAACATTGTAAAAATAATTCGAAGTTATGTTAGCACACATCACAAGCGCTGGGATGGCTACATAAATGTGTTAGCTTATGCTTTAAGAACGGCAAATCACGATACTACGGGAAAACCCAGCAGAATTATTTTTAGGACGAAAGTTAATTACGCCATTAGATAAATTATTCTTTGTGCAACAAAGAGAGCAAGAATTTAAACAGAAAGATGTGCAAACACTTATTGACCAGGCGGTTAAAAGCTCGGATACGGCAAGAAATAGGACAAAAGTTATACTATGATAGAAAACGCCGTGAAGCAGATTTTAAAGTTGGAGATAAAGTGTTGAAGCGGAAATTTTCTTTATCAAGTGCCCCAGACAATTTTACTGCAAAGTTAGCTCCAAAATTTGAAGGCCCCTATGTAATTCAGGAAATCAAGGGAGTCGTATTGTACCTTAAGAACGAGAGAGGGGAAATCTGTAAAGCAAGTCCCGACCAGGTGAAAAAATATTATAATCAAAATGATTTTGAAATCCTTAAAAGTTTCTTGCAGGACTCAAGCGTAAAAGAAGTAGAAGGTCCAGAAGTAACGTCACCCGTTCCACACCCAAGAAGCAGAGAACTGAAGAGAAACCTAGCCCTTCTACAAGTCATGCGACGGTACCGAAAAGAAGAAATGAAAACTTTCAGACTCCAGCATTTAAGAAATACAAGAAAGCAAAGCCGCCGCGTAAAGAAACCTTTGGTAAAGAGGAAAACACCACTTACAACGTATCGCAGTAGAAATTCTACATCGAGGAGAACGCTTCCAGGGCCAGAGAGTCAGGTGCAAACAAGGCCGCCGTTCCCGAGAACGACAGCAGGAGGAACGAAAAGACCACCACCAACAGAAGAAATTCAAGCACGATTCCAGACCGGAGGACGCCAAGACCAGCCGTCCAGGGGCAAAACGGAAAAGACAGCAACCCGACGACTACCACTCCAAGAGGCCAGCATGCAGAGGGCGAAAAAGAAAAAGCAACGTGGACGACACTCGAAGGACCCTAAGGAGAACGACTGACGTCGATGAAATCTATAACGTGGGAGCAGTTCTGCCAGAAGAGGATGTCGGAGTTCCAATCATCGAAAACTCAAAGATAAGTTAAAATCTTCTATAACATTTTTTTTTCTTTTGTTCCGAAATGTTATGCGTAAATACGAAGTTCTATGTTTTGACGGAAGTCAATGTGTCTCGGTTGAGACTTAGTTTGTTTACTTTATTTAGCTAAGGCAAAAGTATTATTTTCTTGAAGTATAAAATCTAAGAACAAGCAGTTTCTGTTGGTCGAAAGACTAATTCTGTTATGTTAAAGCCAAAATTTGGCCGAAGATAAAAATAACTTCGTATTCTTGTATTAATAAGAACTTTAGTTTCAGTGCCTCCAGCTTGGCGAAGAATGAGTAAAGTAAAAATTTATTTTCTCTTATTCATTTTATGGTAAATTGTAAAAATCATATGTATTAGAATTTTGTAAATATACGTAAATACTTGAAAGTTATGTAAAAGTAGAATTTAGTCTAGAAGCATAAAATTTTAGATGCTAAAAGTAAATGCTCAAAAGCAATGAATTCAAATTTAAGTATTAAACTGTAGATAAAATCATGCTTTAGAGCGAAAGCCTGCATGTCTAAAGATGAATGAGGGGGAATTTAGAATGAATGTGTTTTGTAGGGTTCTCCACCTACACTTGAATTTTAAGAATGTTAAAGTAGCTCATCGAGTTGTAGAATGTCGAGTAAGGTGTGTCTATTTGGTCGTTGAATTCTAACAAATCATTGTGGTTAGGGGGAAGTGTTGCAATACTAAAACACGAATATTCCCGTTTGATACCACACATGGTGGAGAGCTAGGGTAAAGTTAAATTCATGTTTGAATACTTGAATGAATGTGAATTAAGCAGTAACTAAGGAAAATAAATCGTTCAAAAACAAAAACTTATTCAGTGTCAAGAAAGTGTAAATTATAATGTATTTAGAAAGATACTGATACTTATTCCTTCCAGATGCTGGAAGGAAGAGAACAGATTGATTGCTGAAGTCCAGGAAAGGTTGCTGTAAGAAGAGAGAATTAAATAAGTATCTACAGAAATTTATTCTACCTTTTGTGAGATAACAGATTTTTTTATGTAAACGTTGTAAACGAGGCTCTTAAATTTAGTTCAGAATTGTGGAAACTTTTCCAAACAGGTCGTTTCTAGGACCTGCTTCCAAGTTTTACCAAATTCTGGCAGCGGCAAATGTAGGGTTTATATTTATTTTAACTAACATTTATTTTAAGTTTAAACTATCTTTCCTGTCAAGCCTTACTTTCCCCTGGAATTGCCAATGCCAGAGTATGTAAATTTTAGTAGAACGCGCAAAGGATTCAAATTGTCAGCGGAAGTAATCTGAGTTAAATAGAAGGGAAACGAGTTCGAAAGTGTGCTTTCTTGCTTCACGAGCGTGGAGGTGGCTAGTTAGAAATTGAAGAACCACGCGTTTCGGCCTGTGTGCTTGCCTCGGCAGATTGTTAATTTTCAACGTAATATTCAGAAGTTTGCTGAATTATCAGCGGTATCTTAGAACGCGGTGAGGTTAGTTACGTTTAGAGAGCCTCGTAGTTAGTCACTTGTTATTATTCTTTTTTTAGTTTCTTATTTTTATTTTACCGCCGGGTCGGCGTAGTTTGTGAGCGTCAAGAGCACGCATTTGTAATTTCTAAAGTTGAATAAAAAGGGATTTAAACCCTTCTCAAGACTTTGGTCTACTTCCAGTTCTTAGCAGTAACCACTATTGTTGCGTGCAGGTTGGAAGCGCTAAACATTACAAAGTACTGAATATTATAAAATAATATTGATATTTAACACTTTTTAAAAATATTTTAATACAGAACATTTTATGTTTTTGAAAAGCATACATAAAATACCAAGCACAGGTACAGGTAGAAGAGACCGGGACACCAGAATTTCACACTGGTTGTGTAAGTATATGCCTGCTGCACTAACTATGCAGTTTCAATCCAATTTTGAGGAAATACATTGTTAGGGGGTGGTGTGAGGGTTCTCAACCCTCTTTCCCAACCACCAACCTCTCAACTTTCAGCTTGCCACATATTTTGAATGCCCCTTCATATAGATACTATACCCAGAGAACACCCATGCCTTCTCCAGGATTTGAACCCGGGCCCATCTATATATTAGTCAGCATCACTAACCACTGTACCGGTTTAAAACTAGGAAATTAAGAACAGCCCACTAAATTATTAAGGAATTGGCATACCTTTTCTTCTTCTTCACCCCAGTCTTCATTCCACAAATCTTCATTGCTTATGCTGTTGTCAAGTGATTTTTGTAACTCTGTAGTCTCCTCTGCAGTTTTATCTGCTTTCTCTACAATAACATAATTTGAATTACTAAGTTTGAAAATGAAATTTTAAGTTATTAAATCAACTAAATACACATAACATAACTGATAACTAAGTACTAATTAAAAGCTGAAATAATAAAATACCTTATATATTTCATGGATTACCAAAATTATTTAAAATTTAAATGCAAAAATTAAAATATCTGATGTGAATACTACATGACTTCCTTAACATGGCCTATATTAAATTATATAGATTTTTTGATGCATTTTATTTAAACTTATTTCCTCGAATTTCACTAGAAATATATTTCTCATTCAATTAATTCAGTTCTCACTTTGCAGCAAGGCAAAAATATATAAAATCGCAAAGCATCTTCATTAAATAATGTAAAATACAGAAAAACATAAAACACCAAATACAGTTAAAAAACAATTTTTCAGATTAAAATTTTAAGACTTCTATGCAAAATCAAGCAATTCGGCCAGTGAGCACGAAGACAAAATTTATGGTGCACAAAACTGAAATTAAATTAGTTTTGGTCCACTCGGCAAAGAGACATTTAAGTTAGTGAACTAACTTAATTCACTATTCTACTAAGAGTTTCAAATGTAAACAAATAGCAACATCATTAGACTTAACAACTTTAAGTCATTTAAACAACTTTTAAATTGTTGCTAATTCTACAAATATTGCATAAAAACCTTATCCGGAACATAAGAACAATATAATTCAATCATTTTTAAAGCAAAAAATGCACAACTTATACAAAAACTTAGACATATAAGAAGAAAAAAAAAAAAAAAAAAAAAACTGAGCTCACTGAGCCAGGCAACAGAGTGAGTATATATGTTTTTATATGTATGGTTATTTTGGCCAATTGTAACCAAAACGTGAGGTGCACAACTACATGCCATACAATGTAATATAAAAAATTTCAATGTTCTAAGGCTACTTGTTTTTGAGTTATGCGAGATACATACACTCACATAACTATGTATACACGTAAAAGAGATCACAGAAAAATCTCTACTCAATCCATTTTACTTTCATTTTGGAAAAAAGAGTACTTTATGCTGCCTGTATATATAGATGTTATGCAAAAACATTGTTCAAATGATTATTTTAATTGAAATACAATACCCAAAAGATTGAGATTACAATACTTCCCTTACTTCATAGAAGGAAGTAAAAATGAATAAAAATAAACATCAAGAATTCCTCCATTAAAGCTCCAATAGCTTCTTGGAAACAAAATGCAAATATTATTTCGCCTCAAAATTATCATTTCACTTACAATTGTTATTTTTTAAAAATTTTACCAGAAAAGTCTAAGGAAATTCAAAAGAACAAAACATTTCATATTATAGAATTAAAAATAATAAACTGTAGCATTATTAGAAAAGTTTTCATATAAATATCCCTCTAACTCAAACATATTTAAAAGTAAAATTATTTCATCACTTAAAAATTTAGTTCATGATTAAAACAAACTAAACATGAATGTATGTAAAATTATTATAAGATAGGGTAAAATTAAATAAGTAGTTAGTGCATAACTTCTTTATATCATTGTTGAATAATAAAGTCATTTTATATTACAACTAAAATTCACGCATTGTAATTTGAAACTAATTAAGTAGAAGGAAAATAAATAAATAAATAATAATTTATAACTTTGCTCTAAAATTGGTATCGCAAAACAATCTACTCCTTACCTCTTTTTCAAAATGCAGCCGTTTTATGGTGGTAATTGGTATTTTATTGAGATATTTATAACCTTTTTTAAGCTAGAAATAAACATGAACAGTGCAACAGGAAAATAATTCGCAGTTATAACTAATTTAAAAAAAAATACTAAATAATTTAATTATCTTCTTAAATTTTACATTAATTGCATCAAGATAATGTTGGATTGCTATAAATAAAATAGCCATTTAATGACATAAAGTCTTTCAAACTGCCCAAACAGGACAGTGGTTAGTGACACTGACTACCGTACCAAAGTGCCCAGGTTTGAATCCCAGAAAAGCCGTAGATGTTTGTAAATGAATGGTGCCTGTGTGACATGGGAGCACTCACAATATAGAGAAAGCCGAAAGCCTGCTCATGCAGCTTTGTGGTAGAGGAAGAATGGTGGGAGAACCTCACACCTCTTCAGTGGGGTGCATTTTTTCAAAATTTGGCTGGAGCTGGGCAAAGTCATACTGCCACCTATATGGTGCGCAAGGCCCATGCCAATGACACACACAATTTTATATCTTTGCCACAATAAAATAGGTCAGCTTGTTCTGACAAGTGAGATTAACAACAAATCTTTTCAGGCTACAAAACTAATCCTCTCGCCAATGTCTTTCCTCCATTGCTTCAAATGAATGAAAAGATTAAATCAAATCAGATTCATCACAAACTGTACTATGAATTATCCAAACACTAAATGTACACTTTCTAACTCTTTTACAATACTTGACAATAACACAAAAAATAAGGAAGATCAATAAATGGGGGCATCCAAGGACTCACTGTTTAAATAAAGTATAAGATATGCTCTTCTCTCTTAAGTAAAGAAGTTCCTACTATGAATTTGAACTCTAGTTGAGATGTGGATATTCCTACAACACTCATAGGACAATTGTAACATTGAACAAATGCACTTATGCATCCAAAGATGTTGTTTATTATATGATGGTCTTCTATAAGTATTATGACTTGTCACACATTAGGAACAAAACATTGACGGTGCTGGAGATTACTTTGATGAAACAAGTATTATTTATTCTCTCTCTCTTTTCTCAAATCATTCTTAAAAATTGGCTATTTCAGTCAAAACAACCCAATAATGCAGATCACAAAGAAATTTGTTTTGGTCTACGAAAATAAAGCAGCAGTAATTTCAACTAGAAAATAATATAACACATTTTAAATTCAAGTGATGCAAAAACACGGCAAAACAGATTTACACTTAGCAACAAAAATAAATAAAAATTATGTAATATTTCAAACTAGTGATATTGCATAGTGCAATACAGTGATCCCTCATTTTTTGCATTTAATGGGGACCAGAACCTTCCGCGAAAGCTGAAAAACCGCAAAGTAGGATTTGGCCCTAGGAATTTTTGTGTATGCGGGTACAAGAATGTTTTAAATATGTAAACAGTATTTATATTTTACACATTTAAGACAAAAATTACAACAGTATACGTATTTACTTAAATGTGTCAGTGCTACTTTATCAGGTTAATTACACAACTTTACACAGTAATAAACATTAATCAACACTGCTTTCTGAGAGAGGTGAAGAGTCTTGTGTTGGTGGTGGAGAAGAGGCTCTCACTTGACTTGTAGAAGCTTTAGGCTCACTCGGAGACTCTTCTGCTTGAGACGTTGACAGTAGAGCCAGGGGCTTTTACCTTGGAGAGAAACATGGTGATGGGTAGTTGTTGTCTTTGTTTTTTCTTTTCCTTCAAAATTCCCCCGTACAAGGACATAACCACGTCAACGCGATTGCTGAACTCAACAGCTCGAACCATATTGTCATCAATGTCTAGTGCAAATTGTTGCAGATTCTTCAGGGTAAGGCCCTGGTTTTCAGTTTCTTCTTTATCTTCCTCTTCTTTTTCTTCTTCACTTGCAGACTTTGTCATCTCAAGGAGGTCTTCATCAGTCAGTGGATCCGAGAAGCAATTGATAAGGGCGCTCCTTTTGTCATGTCGATAAATCCTTCATTCCTTCATTCACCGCCTTCTCCATAGCTGAGTGATGAACTTCTTCAGGAGTGAAGCCTGGATAGTTGTGCATCACGTTCAGCCATAATTTCTTCCAGCTAGAATTTACGGTCTCACTCTTCCCACCCTTTAATGCTTGCTGAATATTAGACAAACATGAGGCAATGTCGTAACTGTGCCAGTATGCTTTCAAGGTGAATTCGTCATAGGCATCGTCAACTGCCGAGACGAGGCCCCTCCATCATGGAGAGAGTGAAGAGGCCTTAAAGGCACGAATGACACCTTGATCCATTGGCTGAATTAGAGATGTAGTGTTTTGGGGTAGAAACTCTATCTGCGCATCATCATATTGCAAGTCGATTGCATTATCTCCTGCACAGTCCATCAGGAGAAGGACCTTAAAGAGGAGGCCCTTTTCAGCCAGACACAGCTTCACCTGGGGAATGAAGCAATAGAGGAGCCATTCAAGGGTCAGAGCTTTTGTTATCCAGGCCTTGGAGTTAGTTATGCATCCAGAACATGGGCAATAGAGCCGTATTTTTGTTTTTTTAATGCCCGTGGATTTTTGGCTTTATAAATAAGGCCTAAGCATAAAACCTGCAGCATTGCCAGCCATGATGACAGTCACACAGTCTTTGTGAGCCTTGAAGAATGGCCTCTTCACTTCGTCCCTGAAGAGGAATTTGCGTGAAGGCATCCTCTTCCAAAAAAGGGCATGTTTCATCTATGTTGAAAACTTGCTCAGGGAGGTAGCCTCCCTTACTGAAGAGGTAAGGAAACTCTTCCTCCACGTAATGACAAGCAGCATCGTTGTCAGCAGAGGAAGCCTCACCACCATAGAGAAGCACGTTTCTGAGGCTGTTCCTTTTTTGAAATTTTTCGAACCAGACTTTGTTCATTGTCGTCATCTGGCAAGATTTGGTAGTAGAGAGCTTTGGCCTTTGTTCTGATCATATTAGTGTTCAAAGTCACTGTTTTTTTCCTGCAATCAGCAATCTACAATGCCAGTGCAGCTTCCATTCTGTTATTACAAAGAGTTACCACATGTTTCTCTTCTTTATTGAAAGTTATTGAAGCAGTTTTGCGGATGTTTGCTTCCTCTTTCTTGATGTACCACACTGTAGATTCATTCACCCTGTAAAGGCATGCCACAACTTCTGCCCTCTTTGATCATATCTAAAAGTTTCACTTTTGTTGCTGATGGTCATCATCTTCTTCCTCTTGGGTGCCCCAGAGGAAGCTTTTGCTGGCGCACAGTGCTTAGGCGGCATTATAAGAGCTTAGTTAATAAAAAAATGTTATCGCTTAAATAAAAAAAGTCATCGCCAACACAACACTAAAATACAGTATGTGAGACAGTCAACATCATGGACAAGACTGCTGAGATACAACAAGAGAATATGCTAGGTGAGGCTGCGATGATGCGCAGACAATCAACTCACAGGGATAAATCCACTCGTACTCTCATTGGTCAATGTCCCCAAGAAACCAATCACATGCCTTTATGAAAGACTGTGGTATGTACTCTGAGTCAACTCATCTCTTTGTTCGGTTGTATTTTTTCATTTTTATTTTTTATGAATATTTTGGAAAAACCTGTGAAGCACTGAAGCCGCAAAACATGAAGCGCGAAGTGGCGAGGGAACACTGTATAATCAATATACACATTTTAATAAAATGCTTGGGAAATACAAATGCTCTCACAATGCAGAATATATTTATTACTGATTTTTTGAAAATATTATGAAAAATCCTGGAAAGCTGTATATACATTCTGGTTGCATATTAAATAACATGAGTTATATGAGGGAGGGGGGAATGTCCCCTTCGGACTGAGCAACTCTCAGTAAATTAACAAAGTTTAATAATGTTGATGAAATTAGTGAAACTGGATTGAAAAGTGATGGGAAAAACTGAATCAATTACTTAAAAGTATATATTCCACATATAGAAACACACAAAAACATTTAAAAAATCCATCAATGTGTAAAATGCTAATTCAAATCAACAACTCATTTAAAACTGTACCATTTGTGTCTAATGATGAAGATGCAGTTTTATCAGAGGTAGAAACCTGATTTTTTGAAGATGACTTGTACAACTTATCAGCAAGTGACATAACAGCCCAAGATGTCCAGCTGGCAGCTATTGACGATGGAGTAGTAGACTGCAATTCCTCTTCTAAAATATGAAATAATATATATTCAAATAGAGAGACATTTTTTAAATATTAAGATGAAAAATTAAAAAACATATTTTAAAACTGGGTTTCTTAAACTTTTTTTTTAATTGCGACTTCCTTTTATCTCTGAGATATTTCGCGACCCCCATGACCCCATAATATTTACAAAAATTTTGTGGGACCCGCAATAAGTATTGCGGAAATCCGACACACGTGTGAGTGAAACTTTAAATTTTTTCACTTGTACTGTAATATACTATTGCAGTTTTAGGTCATTAACTTTAATTTCTAATTTTAAGACATAGAACAATGTGAAAATTTTAAATAAGTAACAGACGAAATGACAGCATCACGTGCAAAGCAAGGAAAAATGAACATTTATATTTTAAAAACAATGGGTTGAAATGTCTTTGTTTTTTTTTCTTTGTCTGTATTGTCTTATCTTTATCTATTTTCAGATACATTGCATAAAAATAGTTGGTAATTGTAAAATTATTATAATAAGTTAAAGAACTATCAAAACTGCTAAAATTTTTGGCAACCCCCTACTGCAGGTCCCGTGACCCCCTTGGGTCAGGTTTTTAAGTCATGACCTACATTTTAAGAAAACCTGTTTTAAAGAATTGAAAAATGGACAATGTCTAAAACTAAAATAAAAAGTTAATTTAAAAAAAAAATATTTTAAAATGCTTACACATATAACTTATATTAAATATTCATAAAGCTTTTTAAAATAATATATTTATATTATTCTTAAAAATTTAATGAAATACAAATTAATTTGTGTGTGATCTTTAAGGCTTTTTTACATACCCTAGTCAAAGAATTTTCTTACACAGTAAATTCTGCTTCCCCCCAATTTATTAATCATTACAACTGAATGTTATGAAAAGTGTTATTTCATAAAAAGAAAAGCTGGCTGATTTTTACAAAATATACGCAATACGTAGTATTTCTGCAACTACAAAAATTATTTTTTGTTTTGATTGCTACACATCAAAATACTATTTTATAGACAATTAAATAAGATACAGTAAACTCTGGTACCGTAAAGCATATCACTTCCTTTCTCAAAATGTTAAAGATCACCAAAGTTTAACAAGAATAAAAAATTAAAAAAATTAAAAATCTGAAAGGTTTCAAATTATAATGGTCACCCAAAAGGTCTTGTTACGGTTTTTTACACTTTCGCTGAGCTCGCATTCTACTAGTCTGCTGTTACACTCACTCCTACTAACCCAAGTTTTTTTTGTCTTTTTAGCTTTATTATTAAACCTCATTTTCTTCGCACTTATGCCATATACAATTCAACAGCAAAATTTAAAATTTTAAAAGCAACATAGCAGTATCCATTTAGAATTCCCAATGCAGCACTAAATGTTGGCATTCACCCCCCGTCTTTTCATTCATCATATCAATGTTCAGTTTTCTTACTAAGATCACTTTACAAAACTTTTTTTTAATCTTTTTATTATTAATGTTTTGTGTGTAAATATAAAAACAGCATATTTTTAGAATTTCCGATAGACGGTCTAGCGCACCGGAGATAATTTTTTTTTCCATACAGTGTTGCCACTGCTCCCTTTAAAATCATCGAGTTTGTTAATCAAAATTTCGTTAAAGTTTCAACAAAACCTGAAAAAGATAATACAAAAATTCAAAATTCGGGCTTCTGAGTGCCCATGCTCAGGTGGAGGAGTACGTTATTCAAAATTTGATGGCTCTATGTAACGTTTTTTTCATAATGTATGAGACGTGCATACATTCATGCAGATTCTTTATTATTTCAGTTCCTTAAATATTACACAGGGCGATAATCTTTGGTGGCAACAATCTGAAAAGTGATATGCTGTTTATAGTGATTCAATGAATAATGCCATTTCGAGACTAATATCCCATTCGGGACTAATGTCCCTTTTGGGCTTTAAAAAAAAAAAAAAAAAAGTCACTAGAAAATTTAATGAACAGTACTTTTAGTTATTAAAAATATCATATTACACAAAATGGTTTAAAATAAAATATTAAAAAATTACATATATTTATTTTGCTTAGTATAACAGTATAGTTCACTAATTGTTGCTAACTGTACTATTTATTTTAATAGATATGTATATAAAAAAAAATTATACCCATTTTTTCAATCAAGCTTGGATCCTCAGAAACCTTTTCTAACTTTGACAAAAATCCTGCAATAGCTTTGAATGCCTATCAAAACAAAATTACGTTATTTTAACTTTTTCAGTGTTTCCTGAAAAATCAAAGAAACTTGAAAAAACATATGAAAATACAGTCAAAAGTCGTTAATTCGGACACCCATAATCCGGACCTCAAAAGCTAAAAACTTTCTGCACATGCGCCGTGTTGACACATGCGCATAGGCGTTTACGCGTGCGCGTAAGAACTTTTACGACTGCGCATATGTGTGTGTGCAAGCGCAGAATACATTTTCGCATGCGCGTTTTATGTATAACGGATGGTATAAGCTAAAATTATCTAATTATATATTTCAGTTAATGTTGATGATTGCGTTGTTCCTTAATCTTCGAATTGGATCCGGCTTATTATTTTTTGCAGACATTAAGAGCAATTTTTATAAAAGTAAACTTGAACTTTCGATTATGTCAAACAGAATTTCCGATTCTGGAGCTCCCAAAGGATCGTACAAAACGAAAGTATGTTTCGATGTCCATCAAACAAAAAGTGGAATTGCTGCAAAAAAATGGATAAAGACATGAAGAATGTGACAGAGAGGTTAGTGAAAACGAAAAAATTTCGATTGACAAGTTAGTTGGTATTCTCGGCACAGCAATTAACGGGACTTGAACAGCGGAACTTTGTAACTGAATAAGAAATTAAAGAGAAAGTATTATTACATAAAACGACGCAACTTAAACAACTTACATTGAAGGAAATGTTTAATAAAGTAAACAAATATATATTAAGCATTTCTTTTTTTTCTTTTTTTTTTTTTTTTGTAAATTTTGATATCCTTTAGATTATAATTGTTCTTTATTTCATAAATTATGGTTTCATATTTTTAATTTTAGAATTTCTGCATGCTATCTTACGAGATTTAAACTGATGATCTATAATCCGGAAAAATCGATAATCCGGAATCGCCGAAGTCCCGACGAGTCCGGATTAACGACTTTTGACTGTAGTAACTACTGGAAAATGAATACAATCTGTATGTTATTTTGGTACAAATGACTGCACTTCATTCTCTAACAATTGGGCACCTTAAATAATCACAGATTGAATTAATGAAATTTAAAAAAGATTGCATTATCTAGATTATAGCAAAGCACTTGAAGGTGGCTAAGTGCCAAAAATTAAGTAAGACTGTCTTTTTTATCAATATATTCAGTTAAATTCTAGAAAATGAAAGTTTTCATATTTTTTCCTGCGTCTAAAAATATTAAGCAGTGCCTAAAAGGTAGGACCTAAGTACAAAAGTCAAATAATGAGAAATGTTACAAATATGTAATTGTTATCTCAAATTTTAAATATTATGATAAAATGATATTAAAATTGGATATTAAGAGATAATAAATAAGTAATCATAATATCTGTATGATAGAGAAATACAGTGCTGAAACTGAGTCTACCCTTAGAAACATAGAGTTTATTTTCACTGAGGAAGAATGCAGGAAAAATCTGAAAAGTTAATTGCACTAAAGTTACATTAGTTTACATTTTTAACAACAAAACAAAGAGTATCTCTGTATACAAGTAAATAATACCACATAGCAAAAGAAAGGAAGAACAAGAGTTATGTAATTTGACACAAATATTATCCAAAAGAGGAGATTCCCTCCCCCAAATAAACCGTATTTATACTTTTATTATAATTCATTGCTGGATTTATATTATATATTATTATTTATTTATTTAGGCATTTATTGTTTATATCTTCACTCATCAATTGAATTTAAATTATCAGGGAATTTAATAAATTTTTGCACTACAGGACTGATTAAAGAATATTCCAATATTTTGCAATATAATTTTCTAACTATAATTTTTTAAATCATTCTTTGTCTCTTTTATTTTTTTTTCTTTTATTTATTTTTATTTCAACATGGAAAAATCAATATTTGCAACTTGAAATCTTCACAGCTCATAAAAACAAAACCTTATTTAAAACAAAAATGATACAAAAATATAAATTAGACGATTACTTCATTATTAAAAAAAATGTGATTATTTCAAATACGTCAATGAACTGCTTAGTGATTTTGAATTTTGAACCAAAGTCATGATAAAAAATCTTTCATGCAAAGTAATAAAATCACATCATCATCAGTCATCTTACTATAACATAACAAGCTAATGTTATATTTCCCCAAGCCTCACCAGAATTATAGTCAGTATATAAGTAGTGTAAAAGTATTAAGGGAAATACCAAGCTCAAGGCCAAGGGGGGAATGCAAAATTCCTATTTGTGCAGACTTTGCTTTAATTTTATGAAGAACCATTTATTGTTATCATCACTAGCTTTGGCAATGATTTTCTATTTGTATGCCTAATTAGGCAGTGTTTATGTATTTCAGTCAAAAATTAGTGTACAGGCTTAAAAGAATAAATTCATAGATTAATTAGATTAAATTAATTTACACAATAACAACACAATGCAAAATAAGTTCCAAGAAATGAGATGTTATCAATTATTTCTTTATCACCATATAGGGTAATTCTAAAATATTTGAGAAACATGCAATGACGAGTAGAAGGGACTGAAATAAGCAGATTTTATAATGGAATATGTGTGTATGTTTAAGCGCTAGCATGTAAAAAAAGTATGAACAACAGATACAAAAGAAAGGTAAAGTCAAATGAAACATGTCTTTTGATGATTAACTTTTTACATTACATGTTCAGAGTGAAAATCAAAGATTCACAGCAGTGATTAATACATTCAAATATTTAGCAGCTGCCCACTTGGGAACTGCTCTCTATATATCCTTCGAGAAACTGCTCTGTTTGCATCCACAGTCTCATAGAAAAAGTGCATATAGGTGAGCTCCATGCTCTTACTGTGATGCATATCACTTGAAATCCACATGGAGAACAATATAACCAAAGTGAACTACTACCATATAACAACAACCTATTAATCTAAACAGTACCTCTCCCACATGAATACACGCAGATTCCATTAAAAAATATGTTTAAAGTCAATCTATCTGCCTTTTCATTAGAGTTGAGCATAAATCAATTATAGTGTAATTGATTAATAATTGAATTACAATGTAATTGCAAATACGAGGGCCATCCAGGAAGTAGATTACGTTTCCGTCTGTGTCCGCTAGGGGCGGGGCTAGCGCGGCCATCTTGGGGTCAGAGCGTTGCGCAGCTCAGTCTGCATCTAGCCGTGCTAGTGAGAGGTTCGTGCTGTGCTCCATTCAGATACTGTGACGGTTTGAAATGTCTGCGTAATTGAAAATCCCGCGAGCTGCGAGGTGCGCTCAGTAATAAGGTTTCTGACTGCAAAAAAAACTGTAAACCGATAGAAATCATCGGCAGCTTCGTGAAGTGTATGGGGACAAACATTATCACTGAAGGTGGAGTGCGTCAGTGGGTCATAAGATTTCAAAATGGCCGAACCAATGTTCACGACGAAGATCGAAGTGGGAGACCCAGCATAGTGACCGCCGAACTTCTCGAAAAAAAGTCGATGCTAAAGTCCGTTGAAAATCGAAATTTCACAATAACGGAACTTTCTTTGAGTTTTCCACAAATTTCGCGAAGTTTGTTGCACGAAATCATCAGCGAAAAGCTTGGTTACCACAAGTTTTGTGCAAGATGGATTCCAAAAATCTTGACAGAGGACCACAAAAATCAGCGAATGGCTGCAGCGTTGAACTTTTTGGACGCTTACCATAAGGATGGTGACTCTTTACTCGATCGCATCCTTAATGGTGACGAAACATGGGTGAAACATGTGAACTGTGAAACGAAATTGCAATCAATGCAGTGGGGGGCACACAGTTCTCCCCAAAAACCCAAGAAATGCATGCAAACAATGTCGGCAAGGAAGATGATGGCGACTGTTTTTGGGACAGAAAAGGTGTAATTTTGGTGACTTCTTGGAAAGAGGCACTACAAAAACTCTTCAAAGGTATTGCCAAACTCTCCAAAAACTCAGAAGAGCAATTCAAAACAAGCGCAGAGGAATGTTGAGCTCTAAGATCTTGTTGATTCACGACAACGCCCGGCCCCACACGGCAAATGTCACTCGTAAAGTTCTTGAATCTTTTAAGTGGGAGTTGTTCCTCATCCGCCGTACAGTCCCGACCTGGCACCGAGCGACTTCCACCTATTCCCAGCAATGAAGAAGTGGTTGGCTATGCAGCGTTGATGACAAACGCACAGCTGCAAGAAGAGGTAACGAAGTGGTTGAAGGTGCAGGCGGCCGAATTTTCGACGAAGGAATTTCCAAGCTCTTACATCGCTACGATAAATGCCTTAATTTGGTATGGTGACTATGTAGAAAAGTAGTATTTGAGTGTGGCTTTTCATCTGTATAAATAAATTGTTCCTATACTTTGTTAATTTTTTTATTCCAAAACGTAATCTACTTTCTGGATAGCCCTCGTATAAGTAACTCAATAATGTAATTAAAATTGCTTATATTTGTGATAACAACATGATTGCAGAATGTAACTGTATAATAAATTGTAAAATTACAACAAAGTTGTTATTGCAGTTAATTCAGTTACGATCTAATTGTAACTGCAGTTAATTAAATTAAAGCTAATTGTAATTACATAATTACATTAATTGAATTCCAATTATAACTAAAATAAAATTACAACTATACTGTATGTACATTTGCTAGAATTATAATGTAATTACAATTAAATTTATTATTATGCTTGTTCATTTCTCCTAGAAGCTAAGGAAAACAGTTTGGGCAAGTGTACCCACCTGTTAAAAAAAAATATGTTTTAACATTTCCTTGAAATAATGCATTATGCTATGCTTAACAAAGGCTTACTTCATAGTTAATAATATCTTTACTGCAAGTTGCAGTTAACTCAATGCAGGATGATCTCAGATGGAATATAAGGCAATTTTCCTGCAATTATCGCACACCAAAAGACAAGTAGTAAGAATGCTAACATTATTAGTTTGACTCTGGTTTAAATCTCAGTGAAAGGGGCTTTCTGGATAGGCTTTTTTTGTGGTTTTCTGCATTTTAC